TTGAGGTACTTGGTCTGCTCCGGCCAGTCGATGATGGTAAACGAGGCAACGATGGCCAGCAAGGCCGTGATGGCCCCTTCAATAATAAAGATCCATCGCCACGCCCTGAAACCCTCGCGGCCGCCGAGTTTGCCAATAGCAAAGGCCAAGAGGCCGCCAAAGGCTCCCGCGACAACGGTGCTGCAGAACAACAGCGACATGCGCTTCTGGCACTCGTGGCGCTTGTAGTACGTCGAGGTGATGTAGACAATGGCCGGCAGGACGCCGGCTTCAAAGACGCCCAGCATGAATCGGAGCCCTACGAGGGCTTGGTAGCTGTGCACGAAGCCCATGCACATGTTGACCACGCCCCAGGTGAACATGAGCGTGGATATGTACAGGGACGGACGGACCTTTTTGACAATCATGTTGGACGGGATTTCCAGCAAGATGTAGGAAGCGTAGTAGACCTGCAGACGCCCTGTTAGCCAGCTTTCACCCCTCGTGTCCCATGCAGTCTGGTGGTGCGCGGCCACGGACGAACAAGCAGGGCAACGTTGAACTTCTTGCCGGAGAGGTCCAAGTCTTTGGGCATGTCTTGGATCCTGGCATTGCTTATATTGATTCGGTCCAGAAACGACATCATGTATATAATGAAGAAGGTCGGGATGATGATGACGTCCAGTTTTCGAACGAGCCTGCGCTCAGCGGCGGCGTCAATGTCTTCATTGGAGACGGGGGCGTCATCTGTGCACGCGCCGTCTCTTCCAGGCTCGAGGTGAGTCTTGCCATGGTTGCCGATGACCATGATGCTGATTTGACAATGTTCAAATGCAAAGCAGTGTGCGGTTTTTGCTTGCCGTCACCAACATAACCCGCTACTGTGAGGTTAGGAGAGTAAGAAAAGCAGCGGTCGATAAATGAGGAGAGTCTGCGATTAGATGGAGGAAATATAATTCAGAGGATGGCAAAAAATGTGGGAAACAACACCGGGTGAAGGTTAAATGGCTTGTCATTTCGGGGAACCGAGACATTGGGCACGAAGTGCATACAGGTTGTGACAGCCGTCGCAATATGGGGATGACAAGATTCTTGGTCCTGAATTGATCATGCTATCTAGGCCATTCATTGGTCTCTTTGTGTCGGGGAATGTTGACGGCATCTTTTGTTACATTGACTGAAGTGGCATGTCATGGAACGGCCGCATAATACTGACCGATTGAGCTAACCCGCTAGAGCTTCTGCAAGCCACGCCGTTTGCATTCGTACATACATGCTGTGTTGGCATCCCACCCGTCCAACAGGGATGATAAATACATGATGTCTGCGTCGGATCGTTGCACTATCAGGCAACTCATCAAGTGGCGTACCCGTTCAGCGTCACGGCTTCAACGGTACCCAAGCTAGTGATCGCCAAGACTGAGAATTTCCACATATACAGGGCAGACTCTACTCTCTGTTGAAGTCCTGTGTATTCCTCCAACTTTTCAGGGTATCAAGACTGCTGGGCTCCCTCGAATGGGAGCTGTGGCAAGGCTCGCGGATACTGTTGCAACGAGTCAAATCGGGTGGACTAGCCACTAGGTAGCAGGCATTGTATATTGCCAAGAGGGGTTGATGTTTAAATTGCGGTCAAGTAATAAGCGTGGTCTGTTCGCCAAATATTACTTGGTCTCCAACAACCGAGTAAGCACTTGGAGTGCTTCCATGCACGCAGTGAGCCAGGGCATGGACCGTTGACGCTTTGAGAGCCTACATACATGTAGCCACTGATGGCAGTTGAGAGCTTACACATCCGTCCATGGCTGCATTAGAAACGTCTGGTCCCGCCATGACCATGGAGGTCCGTCTTGGCATCTTACATGAATGAAGAAGGTCGTTTGTCTTATGCCATCGATCGACCAATAGATTTCGCACTTGGTCTTCCCCTGGTGACGGTAAGCTTGTGTCAAGGCCCTGATTCTATCACCCAACTGCATTCATCAAGGCTGGCGGCACCTCTTCTCAATCTCTAAAACTCAATGATGAGGCAAATTACCTTTTTGAAGCCATCTTATTTACGACATGTTCAGACTAGGTTTTCCCTCCCAGACCACTATACGAGCATGCAATACGCATGCCACATGGGCATTTACACAGCCTGAGACATGATTGACTGCAAATTCTGCACAGCAGCCACTCTGCACAGCACCTTTATGGGATACACATGATCCCTCGTCTCCCTACCCGCGATTCGTGCGGCTTCGATGCACAGTTACAAGCGCTCGGTGCTATCCACAGGTGCATCTGCTTCTGCCAACAAGTCATAATTCTTGAATTGGCGAGCCGGAATGCGCCGCTGAAAGAGAATGTCCAATTCTTCATAGGTTCTGTTTCGGCTTTCTGGTAGGCGAAAGTAGCACCAAACCAGGCACACGATGCTGATGGCGCCAAAAAGAAACCCGGCCTTGCCTCCCCAATTGGCCTCGTTGGAATTGAGCATGTAGGGCATGGCAACTGTAAAAACAATGCTGGCGCAGGCTTGCACCGCTGTGGCAATGGCTATGGTGCGCTCGCGCAACCGTGTGGCTGATATCTCTGAAATGACCACGAAGCAAATCGGCCCAACCGTCATTTGGTACACAAACGTCCAGATGTCCATCAATGATGCCATGGCCCATATAGCACCCTTATTGTTCTTTGGTATGCTCAAGAAGCCAATCACAAATAGGAGGACGGTCATGACGGCCATTCCCGAAGTGTAAATGGTTCTCCGGCCTAGTTTGAACTGGTGGTCCAACGTTAGTTTTGCTTCGGCTCAAACCATGAGATCCTCTGGCACAAGGGACACTTACAAAGTTCATCAGGGGCCAGGAAATCACTGTGCCGATAAACCCAAGAGCAGTATTACCAACCCCCACTAGAAAGTATTTGCTGTCAGCTCGTAGCACCAAGCAAACAGAATAATGTGGATGGAAGACAGAGCATCTCACTGTTGAAAGCATCCGAGGAGCTCAGTCCGGCTTGTTCGAAGAAATAGTTTGCGTAGCCAATCAGTGGATTCCCTCCAATGACTTGGATCAAGTAGACCATGACGGATATCTCGGTGCGGACAAGGCTCACTCCTTTGAAGCAGTCGTAATAGGTCGTCTCGGTTTCGTACTCCTGTTCCAGTAAATCTGTTTGCTCTATTCCCACCAGAAGCTTGTCAATATCCGGACGATTTGTGCTAGACGTGAGTTGGAGCAACGCCTTGCGAGCATCCTCCCTTCTCCCGCGGCGGACGAGCCAGTATGGACTTTCCGGGGCAAAGGGAAGCCCAGCAAGCAGCACAACAGGCCATACCCATTGGATAGCCTGTGGCAAGAGACGGCCAATACCTGGTCAGCAATGTCACTGGATGCGGAAATGTGTGGTCTGGTCCGCCAACTCACAAAGGGGATCTTGTACGCCCACTCATCCAGCCTTGTCTCGACCCCAGCTGCACAGCCTTGAGCGATGAACTGCCCGATGACGAAGGCCAGATTGACAGATGTTGTGAGGAAGCCTCTGAGAGTCACGGGGCATATTTCAGAGGCGTAGGTGGGTGCGATGACGACGTAAAATCCGTAGGCAAGGCCGCCGAGCACCTCTCCGACGCAAAGCATGCCAATGGACGTGGCGAAGAACTGGACAAAGACAAAGCCAACAGACCAGACGCAGCAGAGGCCAAGGGTTTTGCGCCTCCCGAGATAATGCAGCGGATAGCTACTGGCGAGGGCGCCGACAGCCTGACCGATGGGATTGCCCATGCCCAGACCCGTCTGCCAGGGCGCGGCAATCTCATAATGATCGCCAACCCAATCGCCGTATTTGCGCTGGAACGCGGGCAGGGCGTAGAAGGAGGTGATGATCTGGGCGTCGAAGCCGGCCATGACGACGGCGATGCAGAAGAACATGGACCAGAAGGTGGCCTGGGGATACATGCCGATGGCTTGCCAAAAGCCCAACTCATGCTCGGCCTCTGTGATGTCGCGGGTTTGGTCAATCCCCAGCGCGCGGGATGGTCCCGCTTCGCCGATGCCATGGTCATGATGACTATGTTCAATGTCGTAGTGATCCGGGTCCTTGGCGGATGTAAAGGTGTCTGCGGTGGTGACGGGCATGCTGACGAAGGCGCAGTTGGTGCTGCCGATGGATGTCTCGAATCCGTTACGGTTTCCAACCGTGAGGGCTGGTGTGAATGCAGAAACTTTAATGGGCTTGAACAATGCTACCAATAGACGTGACACGGAGTTACATGAGGACCGGGCGTGTGATGTTCGCAGTCCACGGGCGATACATCTGCGTGTTGGGCATTCGAGGGCGAGAGAAAGAAAATGACGGATAATGCCTGGGTTTCGAGTTCAGCCCTCAAGCTGCGTCTTGCCGGCATCTAGCCAGAGGAAGGCGCCGCAGCCGGATCTAGATTAGTTCAATGTTGTTGTAAAGGGGCCAGGCACGTTTAAATGCAACATTGAATGTTGGGCATTTCCGGCACGGCCATTCTGGGGACGGGTGCGGAGGTGGCAGCAATTCAGTGGGTCGATGTTAATAATCAGCCAATAGTAGTGCATGTGGGGTAATCTGGGGCATAACATTTGATTGAATTGATTGACAAGTCACAAGACAAGAAACTGTCGGCGACGGGACAAGACGGTAGTCTGGCCAAGAGCTTGTCAATAGGCCCGGCGTCACTATAAAATTGAACGGGTGTGTAACTACTAAAAGCCTGTGTAATTATCATCTGTCCTTCATCTTGTCCCCCTTTTACATGGTGGCTTGGCGTGTCGCCGCGGTATTTATTTAACCGGTACAGTGCGGAAATATGCAAATCAGTTGTGCAACACAACCGACCAAGTCGTGACACTCATCGAAACAATCAACCTACGGGAGCGGTTCGACCAGACTCGTTTTGGTGGGCATGTCGTTCCCAGAGATGGCAATCCAAGCACGCACAAAACAGATGCGAGGTACAGCGAATAATTTTGGTCTGCCCTTTGCTTCCACGTCTCGTCGTCTTCTCAGCAATAGTCATCCGCCGTGGTCTCCATGTCGTCAAAGTACTGGCTGCGGCCACTCCTCTCTGCGACCTTCTGCTGTCGTCGTACTAGCAGTGCCTGTTCTGCGGCCAAAGGCATCCCAAGCTGGGCGGCTGGGTGCTCGCCTGCAACGGCTGCATTCGTCCACAGCCGCTTGCCCGGCGGCAGGCCAAGCATGTCATGGACATAGCGGACACGTTGGGGGCCAGTCAGCAGGAGTTTAAAGGCCGGCTTCAGCGTGTTGTCGTTGACGATTCTGCGGAACATTCCGACCACCACGGCCAGGTCGTCGTACCATCGCTGCTCGTACTGGGCAATGCCATCGACCACGCAGTAGATGGAAAGGTCGCGAGCCTCCATCATTTCCATGCGCTCCAGGATCTGGCGGAAAGCCTGACACAGGTAATGAATGTTCTGCGTCCGGATGCCGTCGCGATACGCCTTGTCGCCGATGAAGTCGAGATATAGCCAACCACGGCGGTATGCCTCCTTGACCAGCTCGCAGAGGAGACTGCGCATCATGCCGCGTGGGCCGTCGCTCAGAGGGTCCTTCTCCGACGAATGTAGCCCGGCGAAGAAGAAGAGCTGGAACGGGTCCCGCGGAGGGCGGCAAAGGGTGGCCAGGAGCGAGGCGCAGAGCACCGACTTGGCCGAGACACGCTCCGTGGGGTCGAACATGTCGACGGCAGCGCCGGCGCCATCGATGAGGATGGCGTCAGACCGGCCGGGTCGGAGCCAGGCGCGGAATGCGGACGTCTGCAGCAGCGAGACGGCCTCGGCCTCGGCCATGGGGTGGATGGAGCTGCGGAGGCGGAGGACTTTGTCGATGTCCTCGGTCGACTGCCTGATGAGCGTGGACGCGCCGATGGCGCCGAGGAACTCTTCCACAGTCATCAGGCCTGGGACTGGAGTGCGAGCACGCATATAGTTGATCTCGGCGCGAAGTCTTTCGCATTCCCTGTCTGGGCTTTATTAGCACGCATCATCCTTGTGTGCCCCCCGTCGAGGCCTTCTACTCACCCTTCTCGGCAACAACTTCTTCCAGAGTCCGCGCCATCACATCTCTAGACTTCTCTGCTTCCTCCTTCTTCTTCTCGAATATCTGTAGCCGCCTTGTGTAGTCGTTATCGAGAACAGACTTGAAGTTTGATGTCAGGGTGCGCATTTCCGTTTGTACCTGAGAAGTCATCGTCATGAGACCGGCTGTGTTTCCTTGCAACTTGGACGCTGTCTCCAGCAGGATGGAGGTGTCGTGTTTTATACCAGAAGTATCCTTCTTGATCTCTCGCGTTTGCCATTGCGTCTCCCCGATTGCTTCATACACAAAGTCTTGCACCAAGCTCTTGAGCTCATCCGCCCGACCTCTGAGTGATTTCAATACATCATCAATAGTAGATTTCCCCAACTTGCTCCTGAACCAGAAGTATGGGACTTTCTCTCCTGTCTTCTAGTTAGTCCCCATCTGTCCGAGTAGGGTTGTATACTTCATGTTGCCCTACTGTGCTTCTCGGGTAGTAAGGCTCCCACCAGCTTCGACACGGAAACAATGATTTCCAAATTGAGCTTTTCGCTGCACGACTTCAATTCTTGCCTATCTGGAAAGGCTCGCAGCTTCGCCTTTGCGGACGCTACGATGATTGGGATCTCCGCGAAGGTGTCGAGGATCTTTTCACGGGCTTCCTTGGCATCGCGAGCAAGCTGCCAGTGTCAACTCCCCTGGTACACTCCCGAATAACCAATTGTCCAGGTTGGGGTGAGCTCACCATAAACATGATGGAAATGCCGGCTCCTATAATCCCCATGCCGTACTCGGGCGGTATCAGTTTGAGCCAGGGATCTACGTCCTCTGCATGATCTCCGGCCTTTCTGAGCAAGCGCCGCCCGACGCCTCGCCAACCCTTTGATTTCTGCTCATAGTCGGCCTCTGCTCCTGCCATGCATTCAAAGACATCCTCCCAAGTGCACTTATCCACGTCTAGACTGAGGCGTGGATCAATCTCGAGATTTTGGTACTCGATCAGCGCCGCCCGAAGGCCTTCAGATTCATCGGGTAGCTCACTTTCGGCTTCTTCAGGATAACCTTGCGGTCTCTCCGGGCGGGAATCTGACCTCGGGGACGGACGAGGCTCCAGCTGCTTCCCGAAGGCCTTGTCTATGTTCTTCCCCTCAGTGTCGAGAAACCGAAGAATGGCGGTACTGTGAGCAGTGTGCTTCGTCCTAGACGCCATGTCGATGAAACAGGAAGAGCTGTCGGGACTTGTTGAGCATGCCAAGCAAGGAGTTGTGTCTTTTGACTTGCCAAGTATCTGCGAGCATAGGGAAACAAGGCCGTCAACGGGTTTTTGAAGACCGAGTGCAGATGCCTGCAGCCTAATATCTGAATGCGCACACTTCTCTGCATTTGAAGCCGGACTTGCTTATGTTTGGGCGGGAGCAGCGGACCGCCTGACAGACAGCCTTCAGACCCCAAAACGACCGACCTGAGCTGCCGTCGGCTTGGGTGGTCTGAGTTGGTCTAGGTTGGGCCGCCTTAGCAAGGTGCAGAGAAACGAAGAGGCAGTCTTCTGTCTCGCCCTAGACTTTTAGGATCCCCCTTTCCTGCTTCTCGTTGGCCAAAAAAACGTCGGTGTCCATTTCTTTGCCAGTGGCTTTCGCTCGTGCCGTTGTGACTGCTTTGTTTTTCCCGGTTCAGCCTCCCTCGGCACCTGTTCCGGGTGCGGAGGCTCGTTCAAACCCTCCCTCTCTCCATTTGGAACCCGAAGATTCATACTGTACAAGACTGCCAGTTTACTCTTTCGCCCCACGAGACGCTTCAACGCGACGGGCTGCGCGGTGATGGAGGGTAGGTGACTGGGAATGCGAGCCGGCAACCGTGGCTGCGTTGACGGCGAGTTGGTGTGTGTTACTCGCAAACGTCACACCAATGAACAGCTCGTTATATCGCGCCAGGCGGTGCTTCGATGTCAGCTCGTCAACGGCCCCCAAAAGCTATCATGTTGCGTGTGGTGATGACCTCACCACATGCACAATCGGATGTTCCTTCCCAAACTCCTCGTGTGCTTTGTGGCTGTCGTGCAATCGCCAAAAATGAACATTGAAGGCTACATGTCAACGTAGCACAATTGACAGGTGCACTTGACGTTAGTCCAACAGGGGTAACCCACCGGCCGTACTACCGCAGGCTATTGACGGCTCGCGGGCCGCCGGCAGCTCCCGCTGTGTGGAGTTTGTGGACAACAGCTGCCGTTGCTCTTCCCCATGTGTCATACTACATATGATCGGCACCCTGCCTTCGCTGATGCTTGCCTATCCAGAAGTGGTGCTGGACTCTGCGATCTCTGTCCGAGCGAATGCCGATGGCTAAGCCCCTTTCCCTTTCTGAAATATATCTACCAATCATGCAAGCGCACGTATAGCTGACGGGCAGGATGACTCTAGCATTGACGTTTCTCCCGACGCCACGCCGGGTCGAGTCCGCGCACAAATCAGCCATCTCGTTCAAAGAGACCGTATGTACGGAGTACGGAGTACATGTGCGGCATTTATCTCGTTGGTTTTGGGACAGGTGCTGGAGCGGGGGGCAAACATGTCATACGTTGGCGCTGACAATGCGTAGTGGCAAAAGGTTTGTGTGACGACCTACAACTTTTGATTCGTTCAGCTAAACATCCATCACGGTCAGATCCAGCTTCCCTCAAGGGTCTGTGCAAAACCGCGACCGGTTTGCCCGTCCTGTACGGAGTAACCCCCAATCCATGGACATACGTACCTGTTATGGCCTGAATCTAGTTTCATGCCAGTTGTGGCGTCGTGTGCTGGGAGCTGCAGCTTCCAGAGCCTTATCCGAGCAGTAAGAAGAGGATGTGTTTCTTTATTATCCTCGACAAGTGTCTACCTTTTCCTTTTCCTCTACGAGCGCTTCCGTTGCTTTTCCTTGAACAGCACTGCTTGACCTTGAACAAGTTCCCACCAGCCTTTCTCACTTGCCTTCTCCGTCTCCTAGTAGTCCTAGCCAACTTTATCGCGACACGGTGGCGTTGGATTGAAGCAACTATGAGCCAAGATCCCGTGGTGACTCTGGTGAGTTGGAGTCACGTCTTTACCCGACAGTCGCCGCCGAGCTAATTGTTCTCAGGTCGTCCCGGCCTCCGCGCCGTTCCAGGAATTGAACCCGGACCCGGAGAGCGGCCCCAATGCCTCCGGCCTCCCGGCGGCGACTAGAGTCACGCCAACAGCGCAAGTCAAGGATAGAGTTGTCCGGGACCCCTCAGATCAGACTGGGCGGCCGCTGCAACCCAAGGCGGAGCTGAAGACCGAGAATAGCTCCATGGCCGAAACCGCCGCTCCAGACTCGGAGGATCAGGCCAAAGCCGCAGTCGTCGTACCGTCCGTCCAACATGTGCCCGAGGAGCATGCAACCAAGCAAAAACAGGTTGCATTCAAAGGTGCAGCGGCAGGTGAAGATAAGGAGGCCGAGCCGTCAAAGCCCAAGATGGAACAGGACGAGTCATCGCCAAACAAAGACAAGACGCCAAAGAGAAAACCGACAATCCCCAAGGCTAGGAAGGTCAACTTTGAAGGCTTCAAGAACCGTTTTTCGGAAGGGGAGGATATATATGCTCTTGATGTGCTCGTTGCTGGCGACGACCTCGCCGACGAGATTCATCGTGAGATGCAGACGCGACAAAACTTTGGCTATCAAAACTTTAGCTATCACAACTTTGGCTATCAAAACTTGAGCTATCAAAACTTTGGCTATCAAAATCTTGTACATTCAGAGGAAAAGAACAACTCGAGGCGCAAACAGACCAAGAAGTCCTCCAGCGTGTTCGATCAGGCAAACCGCGCCGCCATCCCAAAGGCCGTCATCCAGCCCAAAGAGGGTGGCTGGGTCCGGCGAGTGCGGATTCAATCACAGCCGATTCTCCATCATCTCTCCAAGGCTGTGGGCGAGCCGTGGGACACAGACACGCCTCGCACATTCGATCGGCCATTTAGTGTTTTCATCTACTTCCAGGACAAGATGAGGGACGTCTTGGCCGAGCTGGAATCGAGATGGGCGGAAGAGGAGCGCCGCCAGGCCCTGGGCGGCGAAAGAAAGCCGGATGCCCAAGTCGACGAAAGCAAGGCTGTTGAGGACAGAGAAGCCAACACTTTGGATAACGAGGAGTCCATGGACGCGAGGGCGGCAAGTATCGAAGCACTGAGGGACGTTCGATGCTATGTCAAGTTCGTCGACGACGAGATTGCACCTCTCGCCAGGCAGTTCGAAGGCACAGCACACAAGAAGATCCGCTTCGACGATCTTTGGTTCTTGTTCAAAGTGGGAGATCTAGTTTGTACCCCTGGTGGCATGGTGCCCGCCATATCTGGTTCAAGTGAGTGGCGCCCCAAGACTGATGCTCGTCTCATAGCCTCCATGACACTGACCGGGCCCCTGCAGAGAGCTCTCTCATGTACCAGCCTCTCTGGAGAATCTACAGCCTTAGCCACCCCTTGGATCCCTTCCTGGACCCTGCCGTCGAACCCAGGTTGGACCCTCGGCGGTCCACTCTGGACCAAAGGTTCGTGGTAGATAACCGTCCCCAAAGAAGAAGACGACCGCAGCCTTTTATGAGCGATTATGATGATGACGATGGGGATGAAACCGAGGGCCGCGAGGGGCAATTCGGAGTCTGGGCGTACTACATCGATCATAATGGCGCCTCTTATGGTTCCGTGAAGCATTGCATGACGATTTCGCGCTACCAAGGCGAAGAGACGATAACTAGCTTGCCCTGCTATCCCCTCCGTTATTTGGACGATTGGGAGAGTCACTTGGAGGAGCTCAAGGAGAGGGGTAGGAAGTTCGAGTCCTGCATGAAGAACAACCACTGGTCCTACAACGGCTGGACCCTCATTTCTCGACCAGATGGTGCGCCCATGCCAGCCAATCCTGCCAGCGTCTCGCAACATCTACAGTCAGAGTACATTGACAGTCACGTTGTCGTCGACTTCGCCGAGGCTTTCCATCAGGTTCCCGGCTGGAAGCCCGCGTTCCACCAGCCAATGGCATTCCAGGCCTTTTGGCAAGCCAAGGCAGACGAAGTCCAGACTGTAACATGGTCTGACCAAGAGAGGTCGAAGCTGGTATCAACAGCCGGGGATATCTGTCAACGTATAGACGGAGTCCCGAATTTGCAGCGCAACGATGGCCTCAAAAGGGATAAATTTCTCCAAGCCAGCAAAAAGCTGCCCCTGAACAGCGGAGGCCACACACCCATCCTGCTCCAAGATGAGGACTACGCTCTCCTTTCCCGACGCATGTTTGTCTACGTGCTCAAGGACCGCAAGTTTGTCTCAGTCGACATTCAGTACTTGAACGAGATCCCAACCCAGGACAACGTGTTCAAGAACCTCATGATTGAGAAGGAATACAAGCAGATGGTCAAGGGCCTTGTAGCCTCCCACCTCGCAAAGAAGGAGCTTGAGAGGAATCACCCCGGCGCCGCCAGGGCCATCCAGAGCCAGGACATCATCTACGGCAAGGGACGTGGCCTCGTCATCTTGCTCCACGGCGTGCCGGGCGTCGGCAAGACGGCAACGGCCGAGGCCGTCGCCCTGGAGTATCAGAAACCGCTCTTTTCCATCACCTGCGGCGACCTGGGACTGACTCCAAGGGAGGTGGAGAAGTCGCTGACGGAGATTTTCAGGCTGGCGCACTTGTGGCACTGCGTTCTTCTATTCGATGAAGCCGACGTATTCTTGGCGCAGCGATCGAGGTTTGACCTCGGCAGAAACGCGCTGGTATCCGGTTAGTACATGACAGCTCTCTTTGCTCGTTATTCTGCTGTACAATCTATATTGGCAAGCACTGGTGCTCTCGACTGATGCTGACTGGTCCGCAACAGTTTTCCTCCGCATTCTCGAGTACTACAACGGCATTCTCTTCCTGACGACCAACCGCGTCGGGTCGCTTGACGAGGCCTTCAAGTCGCGTATCCACATGAGCCTCTACTACCCGCCGCTGAACAAGACGCAAGTCGAGCTCATCTTCAAGGTGAACCTGGACAGGCTGTCCGAGATCGAGAAGGAGCGGCAGGAGCTCACGGGCGAGCCGCAGCTCGACATCCGCGCGTCGTCCATTGTCGAGTTCGCGACGCAGCATTGCGCCAAAACCGAGCGGCAGGGCGGTCGGTGGAACGGTCGCCAGATCCGCAACGCCTTCCAGATCGCATCGTCGCTGGCGCGATACCACGCGCTCGAGGAGTACGAGCTCGAGCTGGCCGAGGGCAAAGATGGCGGGCAGAAACAACCGGTGCTCGACGAGGCTCAGTTTAGAAAAGTGGAGCGCGCGACCGAGGCCTTCAAGGACTACCTCGAGAGGACCAAGGGATACAACGACAGCGACCTCGCACACATCCTCGGCGACCGCGACGACTTTTACCGCCAAGAGAGACTGTTTGGTACTGCGGCCAGTGCGGGCGCTGCTGCCGCGACGGGCTACCCAGGCCCTCCGGTGCCGTGTCCAAATGTCAACGTCGAGTTCCCCCAGCCCATGACATACGGCTACGGCGACGGGACCAACGTCTACCAGACCCCAGCGCATCCGCGCGCCGGGCTCAGTCCTGGTCCCTTTCAGACGCCGCCCATGAGCGTGGCTCAGGGCCGCCCGGGCTTGGACCCATTCACGACTGATGCGTCAATGTCTCAGCAGAGCTACGGACACGACATGAATTCCGGCCAGGGCTATGGTAGGGCTGGCCGTCCGTCTGCATATGACTATGGGGGCCATATGCCGCCGCCTCCACACCAAGATACAACTCCAGGTGAGAGCCGCTACGTCTGAGTGCAGGTTAAAGTGTCAATGGAGGACCGAACCAGGCAGCAGCTGAGGTTTACGGGCGAGAAACGAAACAGCGAGACCCGAGTGGAGATGGGCATTGTGTATCAAGCTATTTCTGAATACAGTGAAATATGTCTATAATAATTGTATGTATCTTAGCGATAATCGGGTTATTATATTAATTTATAGTTATTTCAGGGTTTTCCCTAGTAAATTATTAATAGTATAGTTATACTTTATATAATATTATAAGTAAATAGTTTACAAATACTAGTTCTGGTTCTCAACCTTTAACAGTATGCTGTACACGCTCTCCTAGTTGCCTGGAAATGCCATGATATCAATTTGGGAGGATAACTGGAAGAAGATGGCAAAGCATCTAACAGTCAGGAGGGAGGAGAAGGACGTCCAGGAGCTATTTTATCTAAACTAAATAGAGCGGCTAATTAATTGATTGACTGCCTGTACCTGACGATTTCTTCCGGTGTTAGATGATACTATGTACTAGGAAACCTATTAACGTATTCTGTGGATGCCTTAGATACGATTCCTAGATATACACAGGGTCATGGGCCTGTCTAAAGAAAAAGCGTAGCCATTAGAACTAGTAGTGCGCCAGAGCATCTTGATGCGTATGCAAAAGGTCAGAAATGCAGTCCATTCCACACTAGCCCTCGTAACTCGCTATATCCGGAATGTAAAACTTCTGCCGTCATGACAGGTCATTTGAAACGCCCCAAGTACCAGCAAGAGTCGATATAAAACAGCAGACATGCTGCCCAAGACCGATTGTCGTTGCAGCCAAGATGCTTCATGGTGCGCCATGGCGTGTCTTCAGCAAGATAACTCTGCCTCAGTACTTTTTTTCTTAACAAAGAGACTTATGGATACATTTTTGATACACATTCAACTGGCTTCCAGACCATACGAGAGTGTGGCGGTTGTCATCCCGTTGCCCTCCCCTTTCTGTCAATTCATCTGCCCGCGTCCAGGAAAAGTCGTGCGACTGGACATAGTCATTAGCCCTATATGTTAAAGTCGCAATGGAAATATATACCAGGCATGACAGTAAGGGCGCATCGGATAGCTACCTAGGTAGTCAGCAACTTGATTCTTGTCGACCTTGAGTCTCGATTTCAATGTTGGCCCGACCTGCGCTCTAACCCTAACCCTAATCCGGCTTGACCCAACGCTGCCCCTCCTCCGTCATTGAGCCCCACCCTGACCCAGTGACAGCTCTCTGCCTGCTCTCTGCCTGCTCAATGTTTTCCATTCCGTGTTGCTGCATCATCACCGTCTGTGGTAATCGTTGTGACTCGACTCTTCGTCCTGCTGCTTCTCGATAGCAATCGTTTGGCTTGGCCGTACACAGCTTCTCCTTAGCCTTCTTGTATCCTGGCTCGCATGAGCCTGCATCATCGCCATGTCTTGCCCACATCTCGAGTCTCTTGGTGAGTTGCTCTACTCTCTCCATGCACTGACGTGTGTCTTGCATGGGGCATTCGCCAACTTACGAAACTGACACGCAGTGTGTTTCCTCCACAGCATTAACCCCTCCGACTCCTGCTCAGTCTGTGTATCGAGAAGACTGTACCCAGTGCTTTGACTCCATAGTATGTTTGTGTGGTCCTTCTACCCATCCCAGCTGAGTCGTCTTCGGTAAAGGTCGTCTTATCCTAATCACTTTCCCTGTAGGATGAACCAACGGGCCTCGATGTCTGCCTTCAGTGTTTCAACGGCGGCTGTGCCGGTGACCGCTTGCATTCAAAACTTCACAGCGCGATCCGAAGTCATCCTCTGTCGCTCAATATCCGCCGAACCCGAAAAGTTGTCGTTCGAGACGAACCTCCCCCCAAAATCTCCAAGCTAGCCATCGCTGCCGAGTCTGAACAAGATCGATACGATACTGCCCTTGCTGTCAAATGCCTCGAGTGCAATACCGAGCTCGATATTACAGACGTAAAGCTGGCACCAGTTGTAGATGGTGTCATGAAAGCAAACACCTTCTCACGTAAGGAGGAGGTGAAGGCCTGGGAACAGGAACTTACGAGTTGCGAGCATATTTTGCTTATGCAGCAGCATGAATCTCGCAAGATTGAACAGGGCCAGCTCGGTCACTGCTCAGGTTGCGACTTGAGAGAAAACCTCTGGCTATGCCTAGAGTGTGGGAACCTGGGCTGCGGCCGCAAGCAATTGGGAGGAGTGGATGGAAACTCCCATGCACTGGCTCATTCCACAGAGTCCGGCCACGGCGTAGCTGTGAAACTGGGTTCCATCACACCCGAAGGCACAGCAGACATTTACTGCTACAAGTGCGACGACGAACGCATCGACGACAACCTGGGTCAGCATCTGGCTCATTGGGGAATCAAGCTAGCCGAACGACAAAAGACGGAAAAGAGCTTGACGGAGATGCAAATTGAGCAAAACCTCAAATGGGACTTTAGCATGACCACAGAAGATGGAAAGGAGCTCAAGCCACTATTCGGGCCTGGCCTAACGGGTCTAAAGAACTTGGGTAATAGTTGCTATTTGGCAAGCATCACTCAATGCCTTTTTGACATGCCAGCATTCTGCGACCGCTACTTTCGACCAAACGATGATTTGCCGATTGTGGAAGACCCCGCGACTGACCTGGAGACTCAGCTCCGAAAGATGGGAGACGGTCTATGGTCCGGGCGGTATTCTAAGCCTGATGCTGATCTGTCCACGGAAACACAGGTTCATCACCAAAAAGGGCTGGCACCGGCAATGTTGAAGCACCTGATCGGACGTGGTCATGAGGAATTTTCCACCATGAGACAGCAAGATGCATTTGAACTCCTCCAACATCTCTTCAAGCTCATTACTAGATCACAGCACCCCGGTCATCTCAAGGATCCAACTGCGCCATTCAGATTCGTCTTGGAACAAAGGCTCCAGTGTCTAAGGTGCAATAAGGTTCGTTATACTGTCAACGAGCAGGACAGCGTCTTCATCGACGTTCCCCTAGAGAAAATTCCTGCAGCAGAGGGGGTCGAGGATACCACCGAACAGTATAGGCCAGTCACACTCAAACAGTGTCTCGACAACTTGACCGCGGCTGAAAAGGTCGATTTGACATGCGCAGCTTGCGGAAGCACCGATGGATTCAGCAAACAATCACTGTTCAAGACATTCCCCGAGATTCTGGTTGTGAATGCTCGTAAAATGACGGTAGTTAATTGGGTTCCGATTAAGGTCGATGTGCCAGTTCTTGTACCCGATGAGCCCTTCTTACTTGATGGATACTTGTCAAAGGGCTTGCAGCCCTCTGAAGAGGAACTGCCAGAGGAGCCCGAAACCCAAACCCCCGCCTTTGTGCCCGATGCCACAGCCCTGGCTCAGTTGGAAGGCATGGGATTCCCACTCAATCGTTGCGAGAAGGCCTTGCATGCCACTGGGAACTCGGATGCCAATGCAGCTATGGAGTGGCTGTTTAGCCATATGGAGGATCCTGATATTGACGCCCCTCTCAATCTTGGTGGCCAAGGAGGAGGGTCTGGAGATGCTGCCGATCCCGAGAAGATTGAGATGCTCGGTGCCATGGGCTTCGGCGCTCCGCAGGCTAAGAGGGCACTGAAGGAGACTGGTGGTGATATGGAGCGTGCTGTTGAGTGGCTCTTTAGCCATCCAGATGACCAAGGCATTTTGGAAGAAGAGGGTGCCGGCTCTAATGAGCCAGCTCCTTCTAAGGAGCCGGCTGGGCGTGCTACGCTTCCCGCGCAGTTCCAGCTTCAATCCATCGTGTGCCACAAGGGAACAAGCATCCATGCCGGGTAAGTTTCATTGCGTGACGGCTTTTTTTCAGGTATTTTGCGCACTGTGCTAACTAGATGGGATCTGCAGTCATTACGTGGCCTTCATTCGAAAACAATTAGAGGGCCACCAGGCTCCTAGTTGGGTACTCTTCAATGACGAGAAGGTTGTCGAAGCAACTGATATTGATGAGATGCGGAAGTTTGCGTACGTCTATTTTTTCAAGAGGGTGTAAAGAGAAAATTTCAGCACAAGGGTTGTAGATCTAGACGGCGTTGTAGATGATTGATTCGCCCACAGGAAACTGGGCTGGCAGCATGGACTGGTGTAAGCGGGGATAGGATCGTCATAGTTGTGGCGATGAGTGATTTGATGCATGGTTTGGCGGTTGCGGATAAAAATAGTGATGGGTGAGGTGAGATGATGTGGCCTTGTTGAACAACATCAAGCAAAAGAGGTAATGCATGGTGCATTTCGGCCTGTCCTAGACAAGTATATTCAGGTACCACTTGCAGATTGCAAAAGCCCAGAGAAACAGTGTCAATTTTGACATCATGATGCGTCAGTCATTCATGGATTACGCCGTCGCCTATTCCATCTCCATGCAGTAAACCGTCCCGCAATATCCCAGGCCGAATTACGCTCCGCCCATCAGCATGCGTCATGTCACGTTTATTCATGCTTCCATTCACTTGCTGTTTTGATTTCACATGCTAGTCTCCCAGCCTGTAGCTGACGAGGGTATCTACACGATGATTTGCTGTACTAAACCCCCGGAGCTGGACATGTTCGCCGTTGGCAATCTCCTTGGCATCCGAATCGCCCCATTCCACGGGAACGTCGCTATCCGCATCGGCATAGACGAGTACATTAAACGTGCAGTCGCCGCTGAGTTGTGGTAGGAAAGTGACAGAGGCCGTAATCTGGCGGAAAATGGCGGCGATTTCGGCTTGAATCTCGGCTTCTGTCTTTTCCGGCGCGGCTGCGGCGGCTGCCGGCGCAACGTTTTCCTGGTCGGTGGGTTGGGGGGGTGCTTTCGACTTGGACTTTGCCGCCGGTTGTGAGATTTGAACCTGGTCAAGTGCGGTTTCGCTGTTAGCCATGGGCTTCGAGGGAGAAGGGGGGGCCGTGGAGGATGGTTTTTTGTGCCGCGAGGCCGACGCGAGGACCTACGTCGAATTGCCAACGCTCGACATGCTCTCCCGTGTCCTTGTCGGTAATGACGATGACGAGCTTGGATATTTTGCCGCCCACCATCCATTTATCGAGCTGGCTCATGATTTTCTTGATGTATGCCTTGACTTGGTCGTCGGCCGAGACTGTGCGGTGCGCGGTTAATTTCCCACATTGACAGACGGCAATGGAGGCTGAGAAGGGGGGGTACTTTGCGTACCGAGCATGTTGAGGCCATATTTCTTGACGCTGGAGTCGCGGGCGCGGAAATTAGCATGGTTGTACTCTCGCGTTGACGGAGGAGTCGTGGTAGGAAAGTTGGCACACATACGCGGTGAAGTCTTCGGCAGGGTAGACACCGCGTTGGAATCTAGACGCAGTTAGTTTGGCTGCAACAGTCGTTCGGTCGGTCGGGGCGGAGTGGCCGTCGAAGAGAGGGCGGATCAGCATACAGGATCGAGTGTATCGAGTATTGAAACTGCATGAAGCGGCGGCCGAGGGTCAGCTTTCTGAGGAGGGGAGCAGGCAGGCGAATTGTGCGAGCGAAGGAGACGTACAAACTCGGCGACCAGTCTGGAGCTGCCCTTGAGTGAGAGCTTGTGCACCTTGGACTTGTCTTTCTCTTTCGGTCGTGGCTCTTTCGACGACATTTTATGCGTGGTGCGACAGCTCGGTGGATGGTGCGTGCTTTAGTTGGCGAGGGTGCGGGCAGAGGGACAGAAAGCTGGGAGAATTGGAAAGAGGACCTTTTTGTATGTATGTATTTGTCTCTTCTTTTCGTCCCACTGACATCTGGTTGTTGTCAATTAATGTGGTGATGGAATGTGGTGGGGAATCAGGCTGAGCTTGACGTTGAAGTTGGAGCTTCGAGGGACCAAATTGCGGGGTCCAACCGGACTTTGCCAGACCTTCTGAATCAATGTCGATCCATTTCTACGGATGCTTTCGTGCGCAAGTCTTCGTACAGCGACTTTTGGCGATTAGGCGCATTCTATCCACTGCATCGATTCCGACGATATAGCATCTTGTGTCATTTGGCCGATTTGCACTCCAGAGTGGTTGCGGACAGGCACGACTGCAGCAGCGCAGCCATCTCCATCCCCCCGAGCCCGCCGCATCTGCTGTCCGCAACGTCGAGACCATCTCTCGCTCTCACTAGCCTCGTACATGACCTGTTGGCGGTTCGCAAGTGCCAACCACTCGTCGTAGGTCACCAGCCACGGATGGTATTGGACGACCAGACCAGACTTCTTTTCCACCATCGCGCCCACTAGGTTCGACCACATGTAGCCAGTATGTACGCAAACAAGCCCCAATGCGAGAGAACTGTCTGCCCAACTCTCCGAGGGTTTAAGCATCCTGTTCAAAGACAAGATCAACACGACAATGGCCATGCTTCCCGATGTGCAGAAGCCCAATAGTTTCAGGGCAGGAAGAACTTGACTGCTTGCGATGAGGCATGTGCATTACTTGAAAGGGTCAGAAACTTGGCAGCGAAGTCAACGGTGGATGCCAACCACGTTGCGTTCTTCTCCATGGCTCATACACGCATACATCATAGTGGCTACACGGAAGCCGGGGATATTTATTACGTTTGACAAGAATCCATGGCCACTGTGCATCAAGGTGAAGTTGAGGAAATCGAAGCAAGCTATAGGCATCCCTCTTGGACACATGGTTCCAGCCCAGTCACACACTCGTCCGCGTTTAAAGAATGGGACGTCTGCCTGCAGAAGCACATGTCTTGAAAGGCTCAACTTGGCTTCCTCGACTATAAACATATCTGATATGCCTGCACATCTCTAACTTGTACCATACGCGTAACATCATTCCCCGACGTTCATTCATTTCCCTCGCTCATGTCAACAAAGTACACTGGCCACCGTGAGAGGAGAGCGGCCTAATTCTTCTTCTTCAGCAGACGTGACAAAAAGTTGGACTTCTTGGGCTTCTTCTCGCCTTGATCCTGATCCAGGCCTCTGGCTCCGTCTTGAGGGCCTGCGCTCCCGTTCTTCTGCAACTGCTCCTGGGCATCAAGCTGTGTTGTGTTGTCGTGCATGACTTGCTGCGCCATGGACACTGTGCTCTCCTGGGGGGCTTCGCCGACCACAGGCTGGCCCTCAATGAACAAATCCTTGACACTTCCAGGGCCAATTAGTCTCTCGTAGACGGCCAGGGTTGTGCCGAATTCCTTCCTTGAGCCGACCTTGATGGCATCAAGGAGTTGCAGGGCGTATGTCTGGCAATTGTTGGTGATGAGGTTGTAGCCCGGCTGCGTCTCTCTGATAGCCTCGATGACGGATTCGCCTTTTCCATCCAGTTAATTATTTCTTCTTGTCACGAGCGGCAGGATAGACAAACGTACCAGCCCGTCGTGTAGCGTCATCGTTGAAGCGCGTCTCGCCAACTTGAAATGTGCGCCACTCCTCGCGCTTGATCTTTTGATTTGTGTAAATGACGTCGAAATTCTCATCCTGCGGGTTCATCTAGTTGGTTTGGTGCTTCTGGCGAGGCTTGTTTCCGGGCGGGCGTAGACATACCATCCACAACTGGTGAGCATACTCGCCAACCAGCACGGCCCAATGCTGGGTCGGATCCGGATACTTGTTGATCTTGTCGGTGATCATCTTTCCGAGACCTGTCTGCTCAGCAAACCACTTGCCGGCCAGTCCGCCCACGGGATGCCATCCGACCTCGACGGGCCGTGATGGTCCGTCGAGCACCGGGTCGGTGACGGGCACAATATTGGGCTGTCTACCAAGTCCCATGGCATGCTTCAAGGCAAGTTCTCCTTTATTCAGGTTTTTCTTCCTGGTTTAGCGCAGTTTGCGCCGTTAGAATTCGCAGTCATGCATGTCGGCTTATCAAAGCATCAACGGCAGCCCAAAAACACGTACAGAAAGTCTCCCACCTTGTCGCTCATGCGCTCCTCCTCTCCCTCGTTGGGTGCAGCTTCGGAAGTCATGGCAAACAGGCAAGCAACGAAACGCCACGCGCGAAAGTGAGGTCACTGTGGTGCGCAGGAGCGGAGACAAACGAATGGGTCAAATCGTACGCGGCTGCTCGGTAAGTGTCTCGGTGTCTGGTAATAATAAATGAGAATCGCGGATGCCGGGTCAGCTTGTCCCAGGTTCCAAGGATCCAAGGGTCAAGGGGTCTAGTCCTCGCCTTGCACAAACATGAAGGGATCAATTGTACCGAGCCGCACAACTTTGTCAGAGAACATTGAACACAATGGACCCACGTGAGGCCGCCAGTGGCTCAGCTGAACCGTTGAGAACCTTGATTTGAGTCAAAGAGAAAGAGGTGACGGTGTGCTCATCGCAAAGCAAAAAAAAAAACAAAGAGCCAGGTCAGTACTCGGTTACCTGTCTCCAACGTCAAAATCTTTTGTGCTAATGCTCGGGTCTGATTGGCGTCGATCACAACAAAGGAACCCTAACCCTAACCCAGGGCATCATCCACCCGCAACTAGAGTTGGTAGCAATCCGGCAACGCGAAAGTCTCGTACTAGTCATCTTTGTATATTGCTCAACAGCGGCAGCGACTTGTCAACACAAGTGTCTTATCGGTCAAGCTAATCCACACTGTAAATTGTCATAAAATATGTGTAAAAGTGGCGTGTGTGTCTGTGATTCAGCGTGCGGCATGTCAGCGCCTACAAACCACCTTACAAATTGAGCAACTTGCCAAGAAGCTCGAGGCTTCACCTGACTGCGCGCTACGTTGGCATTGGTATTACTTTTCCGTGTGCCTTGGGGGAGATAATCGTAAACATGTCTGATTCCTGACACTGCGCCGGATGCCCTGAACCTACCCGGCACCTAGTAGAAATGTCGGTCCGTCTCCATCGGAACCGTGATCCAGAAGACCATTTTAGAGGCAAGACGATTTGAAGCAGAATGAACTTCGCCTTGTATAGTTGTTTTGCATTAAACGGTGACCTAGCTACCCATAAACACTCATACACCATAATGATGACCTTATATAGTATAACTGTTAGGCTACCTCATTTTGTCCGAACCAACTCGGTCATGCATGCCTAGCGTGCTGTTTCTTTTGACCGCGCACTCTTCGGGGGCAGAGAATCTTAAGGGGCCAAGAAATGGCACAATTAAGAACTGCTATTACATATAAAGTCTCTGCGATATCTTGCGAATGGCGCCCGTATGGCCGCTTAGCCGCGTGAACGGGCTTTATCGGTCTTGCCAGATTCCCAAAAACTTGACTGATGCCACCTCGGAGGCCGGCCCCGCATGACCCCCTTGTACGCAAAAACTATTGGACAACGTTGTCTCGTATCGATAAGACAACATTGAATTTTTTTCCAGCCCACCGCCTTTGGTTATTCCAGTCGCGCGCTCGAGGCCTGGTCCCGTCTCAGCATAACCCACGGTTCCCCCTTTGCCAGACAATATTTCCAAGCCATCCTTTTCAATTGCCATGGCTGCCACGAAACACACCCTCGCAGAGGACGAGTCTGTACGTCCGAGTAAAAAGACCAAGATTTACGATGGCAACGATGCATCCGAAGCGCGGATAAAGAAGGACAAGAAGGACAAGAAAGAAAAGAAGGAGAAGAAGGAGAAGAAAGAGAAGAAGGAAAAGAAGGAAAAGAAGCGCAAATCCGAAAAATCTAATGTCGTTGTCGATGATGCAAAGGAAACGGACCTCGAAATACAGCGCAAGGCCGAAAAGAAGGCCAAGAAGGACAAGAAAGAAAGGAAGCTGAAGGAGGCGCAAGAATTAAAAGAGAATGTTTCGATCAAAGCGCCCGCCGAGGAATCGAGCGTGTCCGAGAAGGACGAGAAAGCCTTGAGTAGTGAAAGGGCCTCCACCTCGGGGTCATATGTCCAAACAATCAGCCTATCCAACGTTCCCCAAGACGAAGTCGATGCCTTCATGTCGACGAACCAGATTACCATTACCGATCCCCGAGGCGAGACATCGTCCCTTCGGCCAGTCATCGAATTCCACCACCTTCCCTCGACGAACCTGCTCGAGAAGACCCCGTCGCCGTTTGCAAACTTCAAGGCTCCCACCCCCATCCAGGCCGCGTCATGGCCCTCCACGCTGTCCGGCCGAGATGTCGTCGGCGTTGCAGAGACAGGCTCTGGCAAGACCATGGCATTTGCTTTGCCTTGCGTCGAGTCCGTTTCCGCCATTGGTAAAAAGGGAACCAAGGCAGTCATTGTCTCGCCCACCCGCGAGCTAGCCATGCAGACGCATACGCAGCTGGCTTCATTGGCCGCGCTGGCCAAGTTGAAGTGCGTTTGTTTGTTCGGAGGCTCATCAAAAGACGAGCAGAGGGCAATGGTAAACCGAGGTGCCGACATCATTGTGGCCACTCCTGGCCGCTTGAAAGACTTCATGTCCGACGGCACTGTTGATCTGAGTGGCTGTCAATTCGCCGTTCTGGACGAGGCTGATCGCATGCTCGACAAGGGGTTCGAGGACGACATCAAACAAATTCTGGGTGCTTGCCTCGCCCGAGAGAGGAGACAGACGCTCATGTTTACTGCCACCTGGCCGCAGTCGGTCCAAGCTCTGGCTTCTACTTTCATGGTTGACCCTGTCAAGATCACCATTGGTTCAGGCGGCAAAGAAACCGAGAACGGCTCCGTAGAACTGCAAGCCAACACCCGAATTAGCCAAAAAGTCGAGGTCGTGGACCCCAAGGACAAGGAGTTTCGCTTGCTCCAGATTTTGAAACAGCACCAGCAGGGCAAACAGAAGAACGACCGTATCCTGGTCTTCTGCCTGTACAAGAAGGAGGCTACTCGTGTAGAAAACTTTCTCAGCCGCAAGGGCATTCGCGTTGGCGGCATACATGGTGATTTGAAGCAAGAGCAGCGAACACGCAGCTTGGAAGCCTTCAAGACTGGCCAGACTCCTGTGCTCGTCGCGACCGACGTCGCTGCGCGTGGGTTGGATATTCCCGAAGTTAAGCTGGTGATAAACGTTACGGTGCGTGGACTACCTGATGCGTCTTTGAACGGCCCGGGCGATTGCTAACTGTGACGACTAGTTCCCTTTGACGATTGAGGATTATGTTCACCGAATCGGTCGTACCGGCCGGGCTGGCAAGACCGGCGAGGCACACACCCTATTTACAGTCCAAGACAAGGCACACTCTGGCTCGTAAGTTCTGACCCGACGCAAATTCCTTGTCAATTCTTTTTCTAACGTGCACTTGTGCAGCCTGGTCAACATTCTCAGGGGCGCCAATCAACCCGTCCCCGACGATCTGCTCAAGTTTGGCACGACTGTCAAGAAGAAGACTCACGACATGTACGGATCATTCTTCAAAGATGTAGACATGACACAAAAGGCGACAAAAATTACGTTTGACTAGGATGCCCTTGGTTCGGTCCATGCCCTGGTAGCATTTCTTTTGCACGTTTTACATGGCAATATTTTGGGCGTTCATATTTGGTGGCTTTTTCAGGTACGAGTAGACTGGCAGCATTTGAAGGGCTATCGCCTTTTGGTGCCCATCATGGGTATCAAATACTTGTATGGCGTAAGACAGCTTAGAAAAGTTCATCTTGGACTCATGGCAAATACATGTACACAAGTCTGAATAGCTGGCGGAACAGCACGGCCAACACGTTTTGTACGTGTCATGATTAACGCCGGGTCTGCTACATCAGAAGATGAGGTTAGAGTGAGCCGATCAAAGTCGACAGCGATATCCTCGTAGTGCTTGAGGTCCAGGGACCTGACAGTTATAGTCACATTCTTTTGCCCAAACAGAAAGGCTCAAGCAAGCTCCGCACAAGATGATACACTGTCACTCTAACTTGAGGCGTTGCTACAGTTATATTGCGATGCCACGAAGAGCAATGTAGAGAAGGAAAGTCTAGCTTCTATCCTTGACCAAATGTTGTATTGAAAATATGGTTAAAGAATTTAATATGAGTTTCCTACAAGACTCTCCTAGTCGCCAAGATGGCGATGGTCCTGAATTGTCCGGCATTTGCCAATGGCCTATGTGGCAGCAGCTGGCATGGTTTGGTTCGAAGAGACAGGTTGAGGCTCGTGACCGTCGAAACAGGCCTTTGCATTCTTGTATTGCAAGTAGGTGGGTCTGTAGCCTTTGTTCTCCGCGTGCTCCTCGTCATGCAACTCACAGAAAACCTTGGTGCCACAATAGTGCTCGGTATAATACGCATCCAGGTCAAGATGGCCACACACCCACGGACATTCGGCACTCTCCTCGAGGTGGCACGACTCGGGACGGACAGTCGTTGGCTTTTCACGCCAAGGTAGAATGGGTGCTGGCTCATGGGCATCGAAACATTCCTGGGTGCTTTTAAAGAAGCCTTCCTTCCTGGCTGTAGGGTATCTGTCGTAAGAATCACAGTAGATCAAGGTGCCGCAATCTTCATCCCTATAGTTGACGCCACAAGGTATGTAAGGGTCAACGTTGCCGTAGCCCTTGATCCAACGGAGCTTCTTGACGGGCTTGTTTGCAATGGCAGGATCCAGTCTACCTGCCAGTCCGTTGGTGGCAACAAGGGTGGTCGTGTTGGGAGCCGTCCAATGGACTCGGGACCCCGTTTCCTCGGCAAGACTTATCAGCCGGGACATGACCTTGGCAGGCTCAGTGATGCCCTCGAGGGCCATGATGTATGCAGCGAGGCCAGCAACGTGGCCAGCAGCTATCATGACCACAGTTAGCTTCTTGAGACTGCCCATTACCATGTGTATCGAGTCCATAGGAACGTACCCAGGTCTGTGCCACTCAATGTTTTTATTGTGGCGGTATCGTTAGAGTTGGCGGCAGTCTCAACCTCAACGCCAGGAGCGTACATGGTAACCGAGGAACCCCAGTTTGAATCGGGCCAGTGGAAATCAGTTCTATGATCCATTGCTGCAACGGTGATGATGCTCGGAAGCCTTCCGGGGGAGAAGTTGCCGGCATCTTGCTGTACGTCGAGTAGACAAGTTAGTCTCGTGCTACTGGGCTTTTGCATCAATTTCCGAGGAATAGACATGAGAAAACCTACATTATAGTCGCCAGCACCAACCACCACCACCACCCCTGCATCAAGGGCGTTTTTAAAAGTATTATCGAGCCACTTGATATACTTGTTGGTGTTGGCGGGAACCTGATCTGGCATGCAGATGACGGCTTTCCCTTGGATGCCCTTCTTGTTGACATCTCTAATGACAAAGTTTAACGCATTTACCATATGTAATACCGAATCAGATGTTATTTTGACAGCTACAAGCTTTACCTTCTTGGCGACGCCAACCTTTGCGCCACCGATAATGCCAGCGATCTGGGTTCCGCGACCCTTATAGTGACTGTCCTGTATTCTTGGTTATGCCAGCCCGATTATTCTCCTTTTGGATTGTTGGCTTACATCAGGTGATTCGGGTATAAATGAAGCGCCAAAAGTGGCACGTCCTCCAAACTCTTCATGCGTGAGACGAATGCCTCCGTCAACCACGTAGACCGTGATTCCTTCACCCCCCGATTCATCGTAGGTGTAGTTGGAGACGCCCTCAATTACGTTGTTCGAGAGGCGGACAAGGTTACCGGGAGCATTCGACTGGCTGACCAGGGCACCGCGTGTATCACGTGTATCGTGCTCAATAGAGGCGTTCTCGCAAGTCTGATTGGCAATGGGGATGCTGGCGTCTCGAGGAACAAGCCCGGATGATGCCAGGCTTGCCGACAAAAGGAGGCCAACGAGGCTGTGAAGGGAATTCATAATGAGGGCTGTGGAAAGGTCCTTGATGGAAAGCCAAGACGAGAGCAATGATGGATTAGACAAAGTACTAGCGAACCTAGCCAAGACTTTTTATACCTGTTCTTCAGCCTCCAAGGCGCACAGGTTGATATGAAGATCTCATCGGACTCATGCGTTATCGCAAGAGCCAAGATGTATGAGATTATAGCCATGCATAGCTATTGCCCACTCTCTGAATGACAGGAGAGCTGAGGAATGCATTGATACCTACGGTGGCAGATGCTGCATTCAGACAGGGTTGTTCAAAATATACAGGATATGGTCTTACTGGGCAGGGTCTGGTCTCCATGACCGAGTCATGACCTTGTATGACCTCATGGATCAATTAGTAATTTGGAGCTCTTGTACATACTGAATACTCAAATCAGGGAATAAAGGCTGTGAACGAAGTTGACCCCTGTACGCTGGGTGCTGAGGGGAGCCAACCAGACATTTATTGAAACTGCACCAGTCGACATGTCAATGGTTTCCATCAAGTCAAGTCTGGTTAATCCCGTCAATCCAATTGGAGGCGCCACACTGCGTGGTGCTGCTGGGCCTGGGATTGTGGAAATGCATTGTAAAGCATTGTTTCCTTCATGCAAAGCTATGCACACTCTCACACGCCATTTTGAAGACGGATGCTGTATGCATTATAATTGCGCATCTATTCGCGGTGTAAGCGGACAGGGACTTTGCTTGTTCACCTTGTCCCGAAGCTTTGATGGCGGCCTGACTTGCTGTGGCTCCGTGTCATGTCAATTGTTGGCGGACTGGCCATTCCAGACCGGCATGAGATGCAGGGTAGCGTGCGGAACGAGTCTGGTCTGGTGCACTTGCGAGGACAGACTTGACTTCTGTGCGTCGTCGTCTCTGGGGTCAAGAGTCATGAACAGTTCTTGCACCTGCTCTAATACAATTTGACGTGAGCCTCTGCCTACACGTCTTATACCAGGCGGATGCACTCGGTCAAAGTGCCGAGCTGATAGCGCATCCCTTGGCCAGTAAGAATGCCAAGAATTAAAACTCTGGTGGATACGGAGTACGAAGCATGACAATACAGTCCACCCCCTGAATTATTCTTCATGCGTGACCTGACAAGATAGCTGGTAGCAAGAGGTAGTATATTAATTATAGCTTATATATTTTAAGAGATTAAGTGTTAAGAGAGGTTTTATATAAAGCTTTTTTTAATAAATTATTAACCCCCCTATTAGGTTACGCATATAAAATAATTCTAATTTTATTTGACTGCAGAGCGAAACAACTAAAAATTAATTAATATAAAATAATTCAAGGGTTGGACTGTACATGTAGTCGTCCCACCACCCTTCTTGGCTGTGACTTGAAGCAGCAGACACCACGTACGGTTCTATGCATAAACTCTATCTTGGCGCATGACTTAAATATCCAACATCAACGCATCGCGGTATTCTTCCCTTTGCTCCACGTCATGACTCTTGCCCTTGTCTGTTTTGAATTCTCTTATCCGAGCTTTTCACAAGCTGATTGGCTTCTATCACATCTTCCAATACTATCTTGTATCTGTCCATCATAATAAACCAAGTCTTAGCCACCTCACAATCCCAATACAAACCCGACCGCTTTCGCATTAGCCTACACAACCCAGTATACTTGCTAGGGTCCGGCTTCATCTAAATACTACCAAAATTTATCCCCGCTAAATCCATTTGAACCGGGTTTTGTTATTCGTTTAGCCAAACTTCCTTCTTTATGCCTGGCGGCTCTGACCGGACTTAATCAGACCCTCTGTGACTCTCAAACAAGCCCTAATTTAATATGCCCTAGAAAAAGCAACCATCATGACTAGACCAACAGCCTTTAGTTGTCACCTTTGTGATATAGCACGTGTATCTGATAAACGTGACATTGTCCGTCATCAGAATGTCTCTGGGCGTACGGGCCCGCGCCTACTCGATAACCTCGTAGAATATTTGCTCACAGATCGGTCCTACAGAATCTAGCTGACCGGGGTTGCGCAGCCATCAAGGCCCTGTGGGTAACAAAGTTAAGAATTATGCATAATGAGGGAATTGAGAGGACTATACACGGTATGCTTGGGACGCGAGGGGCGAACGCGAAGGTCAGCATTGTATATAACCAGTGAGTTGCATTACCGCTGCGGCTTATGCGTCTTCGTAAGCATTGGCAAGTATATGAACTACGTTTCAGCCTCTTCGCTGCTGTGACAAGGGCCCAATAGAGGGCTTGGAGTCAATAGCTCAATTCACCTAATAACAGTCTGATATTACGTATGGGGAGACTCTCGCTTAGCCACGGCGAATAATAGTCTTCTGGCAGTATTTCAGGCTCTTTCACAGCATCCGAGGTTACCTACACCTGTGTAACTTACCCGCTGAGTTGAATACGATAAATGCAGCTGCTCATGGTAACAATCCGTAGGCGTCTACAATTTGCACCCTGCGGCTTAATAGGTATAAAAACTCAACTTTACGCCAAAGACAAATGGATTAGTGCATTAATAAAACCAAATCTCCGTATGCTGATAGTTATGTCCTATATTTGCCAAATGCAAATGCTAACGCAGCTGATATTCTTCAGGAATATGCTCAGGCCATGCATCAACGCCATCCAAGATTGCAATGCCCATGCCGCCCATTAAATGAAGCTCGATATGACAATGAAATAGCCATGGGCCCGGATTATCCACAAAGTATCTGAAAACGCTCCAGTATGCCTCGCCGCCAATTGAGAATGCTGTGATCCATGTATCACGTAAGCCAGGCGTCTCCAAGTTGAAATCCTGGGGCCGTTCTTGAATAGCCTCTTCGACGCTAGTATAATTCCAAACTCCTGTTCCGAAACCAATTCTCCAAGTTTTGCTGCCATGCTTATGCATAAAATGCTCAAATGACGCTGTATCTCCTGGTAGAGTAGAGACTTGCAGAATGAGATCAACCCAAGACCCGTTCTTGGTACGAAGCACTAGGCCATCATTCTCGGTGTCGCGGGTTGCGTTGGGGTAGAATAACAAAGGATCATCGTTTTGAAAATCAACGGGGTATAAGTACTTGGTGTTCATGGTGTAATTGTAGGGAGCGCCAACGCGGCCCAGCACCAGGAGATGCTCCTCGTCAGCGTTACCGGGTCGGGGCTTATTTGGAGGCCACGGCGACATGTGGTCTGTATCCAGTTGCCATGGAAAGAATGAATTCTTCTCGACATCGGGTGAAGTAGGGTTGCCTCCATAAGACAGGTATGCCTTGCCCGCCTTCTCCTCACGTTCGCACCCTTTGTAAACCATTTCGGCAAAGCCCCCTAGTACTTGCGAAGCCCCAGAGTTGGGTATGCGCATTGTATATTTTCCCGGTTCCTGATCTAGTTTTATCATGACCGAAAAGGTCTCACCGGCGGACATGACTGCCGAGACAAACTTTCTGGGGTTGACGTAGTTGCCATCAATCTCGTACAGCCAAAATTCGTGTGAATCCACGGAAAAGGTAATCTGGGCAGTCGTGGCGGCAGCTACAAAATGCATACTAACCCAGCCGTTGTTCTTTGACGGGTCAACGACGATTGTTGCATTCTCGTGCCTGGATGCGACGCAGCCTTCCTGGACGCGTGGTGGTATGAGATCTGGGCGTTTAGTGATGTTCCAGGGGCCACCTTGGACTTGGTCAAGATCCGCTGGGAAACACCTATAAACAAGCGAGTTAGTGCCAATGTCATGATGTAAGAAAGTGGTAATTTGGACGTCTAGCAGCATACCCTTTGTCTGAGACCTCGGTGCCTGGTGGGAAAGCGTCCTCAACCAGACCGGGAGCAAGCTCTGCTTGAAGAAACTTTTGGCCCGGGCAGTAAACCTCTCCCTTTCCGTTGACCAAAATGCTATCGAGACAACTTTTCAAAAATGTTAGCTGCGAAATAAATGTGACCTGGGGGCGACGTAAGCGTACAATACGAGGAGGCCCGAATCAGTAGATATCTTCCAGTACTCTTCCGAGGTGTACTGGCTCCAATCCGACACGACCAGATATTCTGGATCGTATGCGGCGTTCTCCATAGCTTTAATGTCGTCTTTGTCCTGGCTTATTTGACTCCACAATCCTGTGCGGTCTCCCTTTGGCCTACGTGCTTGCGACTTAGCATCATTCATATGAAAACGTCTTGGGGTGCCGGTAAGACTAACCGAATGTGAATTGCTCCATAAAGCCCGTCAACAAGAGACATTTTCTCGTGAGAGTGGTACCAGTGATTTCCAGGAGGAGACGCCTTGAACCTGTATACAAACTTGTTGCCGGGCTGGATGGGTCGTTGGCTGAGACCGGGAGTACCATCAGACCAAGGAGTGTCTTTTTGACTGGAACAAGTGCTCGCCATTAGAGGGATGCTCTTATTCGCAGAAAGGACATAACTTACTCGAGGCCATGCCAATGTACAGTAACATTTTTAGCCATTTCATTATAAACGGTTACCTATTACGCGCCTTTGCGTCAGCATCACCACATGAACCAACCTGGAAAAGCAAGCACTCACTTCGATATCATCATCTTCGTCCCAGACAAGCGTTGGGCTGGGAAATTGGCCATTCGTGTAAATGAGTTCTCTGGCCTGTCCATTGGGAGCGCCCTCCTTCCAAGTAATGCGCAATGTTTCTTTGACCGTTTTTGCCCAAGCATTCGTGAAAAATAAAGCCACTATTAGTAGCAGACGCGCAAAGCGGCTCATGGTAACGATGGCGAAAGTGTAGTAGAAAACGAATGTTTAATTGAGGCAGTTCGAATCATGCACCCGAGACTGGCAATTCTGTAACGACTGACGATGCTGTTCAAATATCGCAAAACGTAGGCAAAAAATGCACGCGCTTTTGAGATAGAAATTCCTTTAAGGGAGATTACTTGATCGGGAGGGAAAGCCATGATATTCGTGTGCTTGGGTGATGCTGGCATGCACAAGTGATGGTGCGAGCGATACTGGCATGCAGGGCGAACTAGACGCTT